CTTTTTTAAGAGGGCTTAGTAGTCACGTTGCACAACTTTTTATCTCCTCACCAGGAGACGTTGTTTCTACTGAGAGAAATTGAAAGTGGTGGCTCTTTGCATGTGCAAGAGCCTTGTGTCATCGTTCTGGTGACTTGCATAGAGCAGGAAAAGAGAAGTTTTTTTGAAGTAGTGTGTGGCATTTGTTTGATGCCCCTTGAACCTTTATTTATAATTTTTACCATCTTCCCGTGGTGAGGTTTGCTGTAACCTGTGTAACTGACCCCTCTGCATGTCAGCCACCTACAGCCTGTGTTTGTTGCATGGTACCCATCTATCAGATGTGGCTGGTTAGTTCCTTCTGCATGTTTTGGCTTCTAGACTTGTCCTTGACATCTGTGTGCTCTTTCTGTTCTCACAGCCTTTGACAGCCAGAACAATTTGTGTTTCTGGCTAACGGTCTGCAGTTGTTTCTGTGCATTGCTCTGTGCCCACTCTGCATTCCTTAGTAACTTTTTGACATGTGGTTTGAGGCTCTGTACATAACCCTCAGGTTTGGATTTTTTGTGGTTGGTTTCCTCCTCTCTTTGTAACTGGCTGACTAGTTTGTAACTGTTGCTTGGCCACCTGGAGTTTCCTTCTGCCTTTCTCTTAGTGTAAGGTTTTCTTTTTTCTTCCAGGACCTGGGTGTGACCAAAGTGGGTCACATGAAGAGGATACTGCACGGGATCAAGGAGCTGAGCCGGAGTACTCCTGCCAGCGAGGCTTAGCCTCTGTTTTCACAGCCTGTGTCTACCATTCTCCCTAACTGCACAGCAGTCACCTCACAAAGCAGATGTGCTCACAACTGTCTCTGCTGAACAGCCAAATTTTAGCTGTTCAGAGCTCATATCAACCAAGCATGGTGCTACTTTTTTCCTGTGGGGTATGGCTGCATCCTTTGGAGAGGCACTTCCTCTGCGGTTGGCAGAGCCTCCTGGAGAGGGCTCACTCACTGTTTGAAGAGCCATGTCCTGTGTCGTGGGAAGTTCTGGTTCCAGGGACAGTGCAGGACTCCTGAGAACTGCAACACAGATACCTTTACTGGATAACTTCATCACAGTAGAATCATTCAGGGCAAAAGATATATTGGCCAGTCTTAATTCAGGAGCATCTGACAGTCATTTCAGACCCAAAACTTTCCTGCTCATCCATGTGTCACACCTGTATTTAGCATATTTAAGTGGGACAAAACCTCTCCTTTGATCTTACTATTCCCTTTTTAATGCATCTTTAGTTGTGTGTAATTTGCATCTGAAATTCAAAGCCAGTTCAGACCTCTTCCAATGAATATCAAGTGATTCTCATTCACTCATACTTTTGCAACAAACAGTGCATGTGCTTCAGACGGGGTTTGCACCAGATGGCAGAGCCTTCTGCTGGGCCTGCTCTCCTCTACCAGCCAGGGGCAATGGTACAACCTTTAGGTTTTCACAAAAAATGTGGTGCTAGTCATCACAGACAATTGTTCAGAAATTCCTGGTAGTAAGAAAAGAGAATCTGGAGAGCCAAATAGTTACAGGAGATCAGCTCTGACGTTCCTTCTTCTGAATTCATCTTTGGAAGACCAGATAAAAGGTAGAGGAAAGCTAATGAGCTGTTTGTGCTGCACAAGAAGGGAGGTACAGGCCAACTTGCTTCATCTTGGAGGAGAAAGCAGCATGACTGGCAATGGCCAGATTTAGCTTCCTACCTGTTTAGTACCACTTCTGTGGCCACAAACACGAGAGCTGTTTCTTTACTTCACCTTGCAGTGTAGAAAACTATTTCTGTCACAAAATATGTGATTTAAGTCTAGTACTTGTATCTTTTCACCTGTCTAGGTTTCAGTAGCTTTTCCACCTTGCTTCTCTTTCTTGCTGCCTTGCTCCTTCACTCCAGGGTGATACGAAAGATTAGAGTAGCTCAGTTCTCCTGGGGTGTACCCCTAAAGGATTCCTTATGCTGCAAACATTGGGGCTCCTGTAAGAGCACTGAGAGGAGGAGGATTGTTACCAAGCAAATGAGCATTATAGTGAAAACTGGAATATGTTGATAAATTGCTTTTGGTACCAGCAACAGTGGAGCATGGAAATATTAGTGCCTCTGAATCAGAGTTTCTAGATGGCTGACCTCAGTTGGGTGGCTGTTAAAGCCCAGGACCAGCATGCATAGTTATATCACCATCTTTATCACTGGAAAGGCAATTTGGCAACAGTCAGTGCTGTAAAAGTTGAGAGACAGCAGAAATTATTAATTACTCTGTCATTTTCTGTGTATGTATTTAATTTTTTTATTATTATTACAGAGTGGCACCTGTCTGACTATGGCTGCAGGCAGAAAAGCCCACATACACAGTGGCATAAAAGATGATTTGCTGAGGACATCATTCTTTTTTTACTTGTAAGGATTTTTATCAAACTGATATCACTTCTCTAGTCTAATAACAATCAGTCAAGTTAGCAAGTAAAGATTTGTCAGCAAGGCTCTGGGCTGATTTTGTTTCAGCTGGGCAAACTCCATTGAACTCCCTAGTATTTCACCAAGGGTTGTTCTGACTCTGCCTGTCTGTTCCAACCAGACACATTCACCCATGTGTCTCCTTGCAGCCTGGCGAGTGTCAGGGTTTGTGTTAAAACTCATGAGAAGGTGAAAGAAGATTATAAGTGCTTGATCCAGCTAGAAACACAGTATAAATACTGTGGGGCCTGAGCAGGAAATATGTCCAGCCTTGCCCAGAATGTATTTCTCCTATGTATATGTTGGCAATTGCTTCCATAGCTGTATTTATTATTTATCAGTACAGACTCCCTCTAACCATATTGAATTCCTGAAGTATCAGGTAAGAATTGCAAGCATATTTTAATGTCCCACTTGCTTGTTGAGGCACAGAGCAGCATCTGGATGAAAATGAGGAGAAGTCTCCTCAGGAGAACCCCAGGATGCAGCCATCCCCAGTGGTGGTGTGCAGTCACCTCACAGTGTATGCATCCCACTGTTTATCCCAGAATTGTGCGTGGCTGGGACATCCATGTGCCTTCCCAGGAGAGTGCAGCAGGGGGTGAGGCAGGTGATCACTCTGGAGAACAGGTGAGATCTGTGTTTGTTCCTAAATGCAGTGAAGGAGCTGTTCTGTGGGCTTTCCCCAGCAACCTCATGGTTAAAGATGCATAAACAATAAGCTCTTGCCTTGCATAATCCTTGAGGGATTAAATTCCTGCTTTCATAGAAACAGCTCCTCTCTACTCTTCCTGCCATGAGCAACAGAGGAATCCAAAGAGTTTTTACATTCAGGTGTGTTCCTTAGTTCATGCCATATCTATCAAGACCTGATAGCCACTAGCCATTTGCATGAGTGATGAGGCCTGCACAGATGCATCTTCATTTCTTTTGCTTTTCTGATCTGTGTCAATGCCTTCAGATCCTTTTTGTGCACATGCATATCTATCAATGGGTTGACAGCCACTGTATTCCTGCCTTATTTATCCGAGGCAGCAAGGGAGTTCTTCCTTCTTCTGAGACCTAGAAAATGGGATCTACATTTAACCTGAGTGCCTTTGGATATTTATTAAGGTTTAGATCTAAGAAACCCCAAAGGGTTGTAGTTCTGTGTGTTTCACTGGGAACAGTGCAGATTTTTATTGGTGAGATTTTTGTGAATAGATGAAGACAATTTGTGTTGAACATCAGTGAGCTCTATCTGCAAAGCATGGAGCCAGGTAGAACTCCTGGCCTATTCTGAGTTTCTCTTCTGACATCTGATAATTTTTTGGGAGACGAAAAACTCAGGAAAGACAGTAAAAAATGCTGCTTTGCCAAAAAGAGACTGTCCAGCAGTCTCAGGAGCACCAGCCTGAGAGAAGCTAGAGCTGCACATATCACACAGGTGTTTAGTCCCTGAAGAAATGCAAATCCTGTGAAAGCCATGTGGCACCTTCTGCTCACACCCCTCACCCCTGGCAGTGGCTGCAGTGAGCTGGGCATGGGGTTTCTCCTGCTTGGAAGAGGCTTCAGTCCATTCTCTCACATTCTGGCAACATCCGGGATATTTACTGGCAGATTCTGGAATGATGGCTGGGGCTAAGTGAGATGGTGTGCAGTGGAGACTGGAGGGAGGCTTGGCTGTTAGCAGTGCCCTGCCCTGGGCTGCCTCGGGAGGGCTGGTACAGCCTCTCTTTTGTACCTTGTGGGATGTTGGCAGGAGCCAGCAGTGGCCAAGGGGAGCTGTGCCACTGGGTGCCTGGAGGTGCTGGCCTGGCACCTGGGAGCCTCCAGCTCTGCTGAGGCCTTCAGTGCCCGTGCTACGTCTGCTTCTGCACCCAAACCGTATGGAAAGCTTCAATCATTGTTTTAGTGTTATTTAAAAATGTGCATAATAGCGACGTGATTTATAAAACAGACTGTTTACAAGACATATTTTGTATCTTAAGATGTGTGTACTGTAAAAAAAAAAGCAAAGTATGAAAAATGATGTTTTTCTACAACTGTCAGCAGTGACTGCATGTCTGTATCGTTGTCCACCGACCGTTGTTCCTCAGGGGTCTCCCCACCATTCCTGCAATCCTGTCAAAAGCATCGGGAAGCAAGTGAATCCCTGTACAGTCTTGGGAAGAAGGTTTTGTGCCTTAAGAATGGGACCTGCTTCCCTCCTATTTATTTTGTTAATTTATACAGTGATTACCATGGAAATGTCTCTTGGGGGTTTTTTTGTACATAGTTTACTTGTTGTAAATATGTTTTTCTTGTATATAAAGTAAACATGTTTCCGAGCTTCCAGTAAGGATTTTCTGTTGCTGATTTTGTTGTGAGAGGGCTGCTGTGCCCATCAGGTGGGAACCAGCTAATAAAAACCTGTGCTGTGATTAAATGGTTTTATCCTGGCTTACATCAGAAGTTCAGAGCTTTTCCTTAGAGAGGAGTGAAATGGTAAATGTAAGTGTTGTAGACTAATTTTGTAGCATTTTTTGTGTTGGTTTAATTGGCATGGAGTAGAAGACATCATGTAGTTTCATTTTTTTAGCTATGTCATGTAGTGAACAAAAGATGTTTTAAATGCAGTGCTTCTCCTGGTGCTCATCCTGATCAAAGCTCTGCTGGCAGCAAGCCTGCAGCTCGGTGGGAACACTGTCACACTCAGCAGGGCTGTGTTGGTTACTCTCCTCAGGTGGCTGTTCCTGGCCATGGTGCTGTGGTGCCAGGATGAGACAGGAGCAGTTGTTCTCTCCTGCACCTGGGTCTCTGTGTATTCCATTTATTGCAGGCAATATGTACAGTGACTTGAATAAGTGAAAATGCATTTACAGAAATGTGGGAGAAGTGAGTTTTCTCATGGAATGTGGAAACTGAGTGCTATAAATGATACCTGTAAACTTGAAACAAAAAAATTTGGTGTGTTTGGGTGAGTAGTCCATGGAGTGGATTGTGACGAGCTTTCTCTTCTGCCTGTACAGATTGGTGTGTTCATAAGATGCTGATAGGAAACTTCCAGCAGATTTATTTAAATTGAGAGGATGGTTGTAGAGTTCTACAGTACTGTTGCAAAGTGGGTGGAAAGTAAGTTAAAATGGTAATGAATATTTTCTGTGTGAATAACATCTTTGTACATGATAGTTAAACAGAAGTATGGAGAGAATAGTGTCTGGAACAGGAGCATCATTCTGATGTTACATACTCTTGCATGATGATAATGGTAAAATTTTCATTTTACGATTTTTCATTGGTTACCTGGAGCCAGAATAAGAAGAAAATAAGAACTACTGTGTTTACTCACACATGCATCAGACCCTGAGTGTCAGTCTCTGCTTCAAGTGGCACTATAGAAAACATGCAGAGAAAGCAACAGCAGAGACAGAAGATATTCTTACTCCTCTCATACAGGTTAATTCATTTTGGTCTTTTTTTTAATTATATGACAGAAGCTAATAGCAAAAATCTTACTGCCCCACTCAGTGTGTCATTTCAGAATGTCAGACCTCAAGAGACCGCATCACTGGGTATGTACACTCCCAAATTATATATAACCATTTCTGCTCACCAGAGAATCAAAAGGAGAAAATGGTTTGAGAAAGGCGGAGTGGGTGCCTCAGCTGTTTTACTTTTTCCCTGTATGCAGGTAAATGGTCAAGCTCTCCCTGAGCACTGTTTGTTTAACAACTGAAAAGAAAGCACTTCATGTCATTCCAAAGAGTAAATATCTGAAGTTATGGATTAACTAAGTTCCAGCAGAGCTCATGGAGGAAGAACAGATCACGCTGATTCCCACTGAATAAAGCAGTAAGTGCTTCAAAAGTCTTGTATCCTTTGAGATTTCCAAGTACAACTTGCTTTAATGGAGCATGAAACTTGTAAAAAATGTCCAGTGACAAGGGGAGGGTGTTGGGACAGGCCAGAAGTTTTCTGGGAGATCTGCTGATGTGTTAAAGGGAACAAGCAAACCAGTCTGGAGGGACCCTAGTGAACAGCTGCTGCAGAGCTGGGGTGGGTCAGGGCGCAGCAGAGAAGAGAAGAGAAGCGGCTCTGAAAAGTGAGTGACCTGGCTGAGCTGGATGGGTGGGAGCTGTCTGCAGCAGGGGCTTGTCACTCAGCAGTGTGCTCTTCTTGACACCTGCCTTCTCCTCCTCAGGTGACTCCTGCTGCAAGATGTGGAAGCTCCTCACTGTGGGGCTGCTGCTGGCTGCCTGCCCTTACTGGGGCTGCTGCACCTCAAGTAAGCATTCTTTTGAGAGATGGCCTTCAACCCTTCCCAGTCTGCAGTTTCATGTCCTGCTCCTCTGTTAGAGGGGGTGGCTGGAATCATTCCCACTGTGGGGCGTTGACTTCCTTTAGCAGAGGTTGACAGACAGTGCTGGGGCCATGGCAGCTGCCTGGTCAGAGCCCTGCTGAGCCCCATGAGATGTCAGAGTACCACAGGGCAGAGGCTGGAGCTTGCTTCTGCAGCACAGCACAGACAGCACATGGTGTCTAGGACAGCCTCTCTTGCTGTACTGGAGAGAGGCTCTTGCTCTCATAAGTGTCCTTTGGGAAGCACCACTGTGAGTTTTCAGCCAGCTCTTTTCTCCACTTCTGCTCTCACCTTTTTGCTTGCAGTATTTTACAGCAGTAAAGATGCAAACAAAGTCCTGAGAATCCAGAAGCGGTCAAACACTTTCCTGGAGGAGCTCAAGCCAGGCTCTGTGGAGCGTGAGTGTGTTGAAGAGCTCTGTGACTTTGAGGAGGCCAGTGAGATATTTGAAACCAGGGAAGCAACAGTAAGTTGGGGTTTTTTTTAAGGATAAGATAATTTAGTCAATCAAAGATTTTCTTAAAATATTGCAATCCAGGGCACAGAAGATGATGCTGTCAGTACTGAACACTGCTCTTTCCTGACTCCTCAGGTGTAGGCGTGGTTTTGAGTGTCACTGTGTTACAGTGATTGTCAAGTTACCCTCAGTGGGCCACAAAGCTTGGCTACTCAAGCATGTCCCACCTGGCCCGCCTGGTGAGGTTTAGGTCCTAGACAGTTAATTAGAATCCTTGCTTGATTCCACTGGGCTATTCTTGCTTCTACTAAGTTTTTCCTAGTACTTCCAGTCTTTTGCCTTTGTTGTCCATTCATCAGTCCTGGCTGCTTTTCAGTGTATCTCCTAAGTCTTCTGTTATGCCTGACAAACATTTCTCTATCACTATATTTTTTCTCTCCTTCTGCAAACTCCTATTTTGAATTGGACACTATATTTACTGTCTGCTGATTCCTGCCCCTTTCTACACACAATTGTTGTGTTGCTGTTTTTAGCAGAGTTGGCTCAAAGCATAGGGTTATGCAGTCCTTGCTGTCCCTCAGATCCCAGAGGAGAGAGGGGCTGTCCTTAGAATGCCTGCGTTTTGTCTAACTGGGCTCAAGTGAGCTCAGGTGACTTACCTGGCAGTAAGTGCCAAGAAAATAGCCTGCAAGCAGAGATGAGGAGTCTGTGCTTAGTACAGGACTGCAGGAGAGTCACAGGCTGGTTTTCTTGGTTCATAGTGCCAGTCTCTACACTGCTGAGAAGAATGAGACCTATGTTACTGACCAAAGCGCTGTGTTCTGTTGGCCAAGACCACAAAACACTTAAAACCCCTCACTTGTGAAAAACGGTTTTCTCGATTTAATACAAGTTTCCTTTCTCCACAGCTAGAATTTTGGAGCAAGTATGTAGGTAAGTAAAGATTTTCCTCATCACTTCTCTGTGCTTCCTCAGGAGTTACTAGTACTCAGCCTTCCTCCTGTCATGTGTCATATACTGATTTAAATTCTCATTCTCTCTCATAAGGGGTGTGCAGAGGATGTTTTCCTGTTCTATCATACAAGCAGCCTTCCTAAAACACTTGAGGTGCACCTGTACCTATCATCAGTCATCTTCCCAGAGTTAAGGAATTGGTGAAAAATGGTTTGATGCTCTAACCATGCCTGACGTGGTCCAGCAGTAACCTGCTGCTGCCCTGCCTGCTTCAGGCTTTCCTCTTTCCTCCCCTTCTGCCCACTCCACTCACTCTGCAGAGGGAATTGAGAACCCAAACAGGTGACCCTGTCTCTGCCGCAGAGGTGTCACCATTGAGTGCCAGAAACATGGCTGCTACTTGGGAGTCTGGGCAGGGTCTGTTTGTGCTGATGTTTGATCTGTGAGCTCTGTATGGTTCAGCAGCTGAGTTTTCCTACCTCTGTTTCAGATGGAGATCAGTGTGAGCACAATCCTTGTTTCAACGGGATCTGCAAGGACAGTATTGGAAAATTTTGCTGCATCTGTAACAAAGGCTGGGAGGGGGTTTTGTGCAATTATGGTAACACTGCATTTAATCCACTATAAAATAACATCCTTTGTGACAGGGATCTCTGTGTGATAGGGATGGACACTTCAGTCATTGCATGGCATATTCTTTCTTTACTACTTTCTTTACTAATGTGATTTCTCTCTTGCTTCTTGATGTGGTAAGAGGTTTGTCTGTGCTTATCTAAAGCAAAATTAACTTTGTATTACCATAGGATAATTTTAGAGGTATGAGATATCTAAATTTTGGACAATACTGGAAATAACTCTGTGAAGCAGGGGTTTACTTTAGAATTGGGGATTATGGTAGGGTTTTTAAATACAGAGGAAAACCCAATCCACTGTGAATATTTTATCACTGTGATAGTTCCTTCCTTGGACAAAAGTGGATAGCATATTTAGGGATGAGCATTGTATGTCATGTATCATCTACAGCTTTCACTGTGGGACTTGGCACATAGTAATAGGGCATTTTCTGTTCCCCAGTGTACTGTAATCTTTTTCCTCCATCTCCCCACTCCCTGATTCTGGACCTAGGTCTGTTTGCTGTCTAGGGGCCTGAGTGTCATTGAAGCCCACAACTGTCATTCCAAATCCATTGATAGCTGTTACCCACTTGAAGCATGATGTCCCTTTGCCACCTTACCTCTCTGTGACCCTGGCTTCCCAACTCCACGTCTCTTGCTGTTTGTTTTTCCCACAGAGGTCAAATACAGCAACTGTTCCACGGAGAATGGGGGCTGTGAACATTTCTGCAGGGAGGACCCTGCTGAGCAGCATCGCTTGTGCAGCTGTGCATCAGGGTATCGGCTCAAGGATGACCACACCACGTGTGAGCCTGTAGGTAAGAGCAGGATGTTTGCAGTCCAGCTTTGACACAGGATTATTCAGGCTGATGCAAAAGAGTTTTAGGGGAGATTTGTCTGCAGTGCACTTTGTACTCATTTTCAAAACGTCTATTCCATAAAGAGTAACTCTGCCTGCATTTCCCAGCTCCATACCCACTTTATGGCCCTTTATCCATGTTTCTCTCAGGGAAACATAAAGGGGAGTCAGGAGACTGCCTCCTCTGCCAAGCACTGAGGGACTTCCATGAAGCCTCTCAACAATATTGCCTAGGTTAGACAGAGGAAATCCTCTAAAAAGAGGATTGGGTGACCTGGGCTAGTGAATTCTCTGCATTTTCTGCAGTGGAGTTCCCCTGTGGAAGAGTCAAGTTGGATTACATTGAAGCCAAAGCAGACTTCAATATTCGGCTCATTGGTGGAACAGTTGGGAGAAGGGGAGGCAGCCCTTGGCAGGTAAGGAGAAGGGGATTCTTTGCCACAGATAGTTCAGGCTCTTCCTGAACTGCTCTGCCTCTCTCTGCTCCAGAAAGGCTCTTGCGTTGTTACTGATGGTGTCATATGAAGTTAAGATTCCCTTTGCTTTTTCAAAAGCGTCCCAAAGGTTGGAGTAGCAGGAAAAAATAATTTTAATATCTGTGAGAATTCTTGACCTTGTTGCTGTTGGCAAGCTTTTGACCTGAATATGCCAATATCACCAAGAGAGAAGATGGTGATGGCAATCATCTGCTCTGTTGCTCCATCCTGGGGAACTCATGGTGTGTGGTGTGTGCTTCGGCTCCTGCAACAGCCTTCCAGTGGGAGGTGATCTTCCTGCCCTTTCTTATAAGCCTTGTCTGTCATAAATTCAAGTTAGCAGACTTAATCAGCAAAATATGCCATGGCAGGTTGGCTTATTGCAAAAAAAAGCGAGACCTCACAGAGCTTGGAGCTACCATGGAGCTAATGAATGCAAATAATGAGGGCCTGGTTCCCTTTGATATTAAAGGGCCTATTACACCACAGCATGAGAGCTGCAGCCTGAGATGATGCACGGTCTCTGGTGTGGGACACACCCCTCATTTGTGCTCTGTATTTCAAAGCTTTGAGTACAAAGTGCTTCTTTGCAGTGACCAGCATCACCCCATGCTGATTTGGATGAAGCCAGCCCTCATTCAGGAAGGACATACAAAACTATTTTGTAGGTATTTCACAGAGACACTATTTATAGAGCTTTTGTCCCTCTGTAGAGCTTTGGCTTCAGTGAATGTGACATGCTTTGGTGCTTGATAAGTCTGGGTATTTGGCAGCACCTAAGAAGAATGAGTACAGTATTCTGTGAGCTGTGCTCCATGCAGTGTCACACCTCCCTTGTCTTGTTTCAGATTATGCTGCAAAATACCAAAGGGATGTTTCTCTGTGGGGGTGTTCTCATCCATCCAGCTTGGGTCCTAACAGCAGCACACTGCCTTGAGGATAACGAGGGGTTCAGAGTTAAACTTGGTATGGAAAATCACCTGTCCCTGTGCTTTTTAAATATAAATGTTTATTTCCTAACATTTATCATCTCAGGAAAAAGACTGGCAGGTTCTGAAGACAAAAGTCCTTGGCTGTAGGAGTGGTCTGTCTAGGCAGTATTTAATATGCACCTTAGCTTAAAACAAAGTTTAGTAAAAATCTGATTTCGTGTGAGCTATTTGAGCCTTGCTCTGGAAGTAAGCTGATGTCTACTGAGCACTGCTGCTGGTCTGTAAAGTAGAAAGTCTTGGTCACTTCTGCCTCTGTTTTTCTGGTGATGAAAATATTAGAGACCATCCCAATACTGAAAAAAAAGTCTTGATCCCTGAAGGAGAATGTCACAGGGTCTCTTCCTGCCTTTTCATGTATTTAAACACTGTTATTTAAGAATGTTTCACTGGAGAGGTGCTGCAGAATGGCAACACTGCCTTTACTTGCTCTGCTGCTCTGGAGCATGAGAAAATGTCACTATGTCAAGTAAGTGCTTCTCCTGAATTGACAGACAAAGATAATTAGCGTTTCATTTGCACTTAGATTTTTTTTTAACAATGTTTTCTACCTAGCATTGGTGCTGAGGTATAACAGCTCAACTGCTTGCTTTCCATTAGTGAAAGGATAGATTATTCCCAGTATTTGTAGAGAGTCCAGCCAATATATTGTTTGTGTATATAGCGTTAAAAATAGATGTCTGTGTGCATGTTCCAAACACACTGTGGATGTGCAGATGCTTGAGAGCAGAGACAACAAGTTTATGTACATCCAACATAAAGAATGAATTAAAAAGTGTGTGATGTAGCCTTGGGTTCTCTTAGTGCCAGAATATTCACCTTTTCACAGAGAGACTTCTGTCACCACAAAAGGAGTTTTCATCAGAAAAACCTGGAGACGTCTGTGAGTGACAAGGAGGAGAGTTTTGGATGAAGACATTGCCATGTCCATGCAGACAGCCAGGGAAATGTTTGTACTGAGCCTGCACAGCTGCTGCTCAACCTGTGTCTGTCAGGCTGGGATACCCCACACCCTTCTGGACTTGTCTCACTGCAGCTTGCCATCCACAGGAGCAAAACTGGAGGGGAAACTTGCATCTGAGTTTACACTCAGCTTGGGGAGAAGTCTTGTCGCAGCACTCATGTGCTTTAGTGTCTGAATTAGAAAGTTAGTTCTAAGAGTAGTTTTGGAAGATGGATTTGAGAATAACACAATATTCCTGTTTCTGGCTCTTGTTCCTGCATCACAAGCCCAAGAGCATCCAGAAGTGTGTTCAGAACTCCAAGACAGAGCAGATAGGTGGATGTAATGACTCGATTTAAAATCGTGTTTCTGCCTTTACAGTTAATGTTTTTATGTCAGCAGCAAGGATTATGGTGGTCCTTATTGTGTAGAAGGAACTCAATGTGTTTCCACAGCCTCTGGGTTCAGTACCTCCAGGTGTACATCCAGGATTTTTGAAGTTGCAAACTCTGGGAGTGGATAACCCACCAGAAGTCAAAGGGTGTCCCCCCTGGGAGTGAGGGAGTCTGTCACTGCAGTGCCAAAGGTGTCACCCAAGGGTTGTGGGTGCCTCAGGATGGAGACAGCTGGTGGCTGTGCTGGTGTACAGAGCATGTACCCACAGCAAATGTGTTCCTGCACAGCCACTCTGCCTCCCTCAGAGGAGATGGTCTGACAGTGCTTGAGTCCAGAGTTATTTCTGAGGCCTAAAGCAGAGTTTGTATCAGTGAAGGCAGGAATAAAGCCAGCCCCCAGCCACAGTGGCTTCAGGCTGCCTTAGGGGTGCTGCGAACACTGCAAAGAGATTGTGATAGGAGAGAAAAACTGGCTTGTGCTTGTTGGCTCAATACTAGCAAATCCATGAGGGGCTGGTGCCACTCAGTACAAGACATCAGAGCAGTTTCAGCTGTCTGCTCCAGCCACTGTGAACTGTCCATTGTCTGTCTGCAGAGGAGCAAGAAGAGAGACTCAGAAATAAATGGTCTGGAAGACCAAGATCCAAAGCTGGGTTTAAGAGATCTTTTGAGAATATATTTCTGTAACTACTGTGCCTTGTAAGTCCCTATGCTTGGAGATGCTCCTTACAGAAAAAACACTTGCAAGACCTCATTGACAGCCTGGCAGAAAACCTAGCTCTGCCTTTCCTATTGCAGTGTGTCACAAATGCCTTCTTACATTTCTGGCCCTTTTTAACATAGATTCTTGCTTGCTGTTCCATAACTGCTTGGCCCATGAAGTAGCCATGATGATGTAGCACAAATAGCAACTGGGGAGTCTTAAGAAGTGAAAAATTCCTTAAAATACAGATGTAAGATTTCAGAGGAATAATCTTACCTGACAGTCTTACCTTTAAGTCAACTTTATCTTACAAAAACTAACATTCAGCTATTCAGGCCCTGGCTGCGTGGTGTAAAGCTCATGTCCTGTTGTAAATGTCCTGTTTTGTGGTGTGCTTGCTCTCCCAGCTTTGAATGCTGGCTCCAAGAACGTTGTTTTCCTCCTCACTCACATTGCACAAGTGTACTGAAATATGAACACCACAGAGCAATTTGGTTTCTCAGCTGATGACCAGAGCTCTAGAGCTCTATAGGTATTCATGATTTCTGAAAATATGAAAAGTTTAGAGATTTGTCCATCTGTTAAGAACACTGTTAACTTATGACATAAACAGTTGTATTACAACAAAGAGAAGTAAAAACATGGAGTGCAGTCCTAACACCCAGTGTAATCCAAATGCTTTTGGATTTTGCAGATGTCTTTCAAAGTAAAGGAGCCTTGACAGCATCTGTCATCTTGCTTGCTCTTCCAGGTAAATTCAATTTCCGTTCTGAGGCAGATGAGCAAACCATTTGGATTGATAAATGGGTGATCCACGAAAATTACACCAAGAAGACCTCAGATAATGACATAGCCATGCTGCACTTGGCTGAGCACGTGATGTATTACAAATACGCGCTCCCGATCTGCCTTCCCACGCGCAACCTGGCAGAGCAGGAGCTGATGAGGAGCGGGAAGCAGGCGGTGGTGACGGGCTGGGGCAGCATGAGCGAGCGTAACCACACCTTCGCTGCCTTCCTCAGGTACATCGAAATCCCCATCGTGCCCCGCAACGAGTGCGCCCGCGCCATGAGCTCCCATATCTCTGACAACATGCTGTGTGCTGGGAGCCTGGGAGACAGGAAAGATTCCTGCCGTGGGGACAGCGGGGGCCCTATGTTCACTAGGTATAAGGATACTTGGTTCTTGATAGGGCTGGTGAGCTGGGGTGAAGGCTGTGGAAGAAGGGAGAAATTTGGAGTCTACACCAAAATTAGTCAGTACCTTGAGTGGATCCAGCACCACATAGATACGTCAGCTCCTTTGAAAGGTTGATTCTGATCCAGAGTCTGGAATGTTGTGACTCTGTGCTAGTGGCAGTATGCACTATAATGTACTGTCAGATCTTCAGTATTAAATATTGAGTATGTGTTAACCTTGTGTGCTGCTTTCCTTGGTATCTACTTTTTTTCCTGCTTTTTTTTTTCTTGTTTACATTGGTTTGTTGCAGGTTATGTTGTTTATTTGTGGCATGGTTCTACTTCAGCCTTACAGGCAAGAAAATATCCTCAGTTGGCTGAGATGCTGTACATACAGCATTGTAGAAAATAAGGTTGTCCATGGTCAGGCAACTCCATCTTTGAAATAAAAATGTCAGTTGTGTAATATGTCTGAAATGGTTGGGGTGGAGACAGGAGGGGACACAAAAGTGTTTTGCAAATAACCCTAGAGATGCAGTTCTGTCATTTCAGCTGTACTGCAAGGTACTACCCACAGTAACTCTTCTGGTTTGCTCAGTATTTGTATAATTTTTCTTTCAACCCAGTGAAATTTTTATTGCATCATTACTACCTCCAGTTCTTCACACCTTACTCCAGTGTTCACAGATTGTTGATTCAGCAGGTAGCTGGAACTTACCTGTATTTTCCATTCTTTGCACAATTGACGCCAGATTTTACCCTCCCAAACTTCCTTAAAAGAGAATGGGAACTCTCTCTAATGTTATTCCCAAAAACCCCAAACAAACAAACACCAAAACAAACAACAAACCCAAAAGAAAACCCACTTTAATTCCAAGCTTTTGCAGGCCCTATCTATTATGAAATCTGTATTTCTCTTCTAATTAACAAGCAGGCAAATACTTCTGTTCATTACTGTGCTGGTGGATGCAGTGGGCTGCAGGCTGTGTTAGCATTGCTGATGCTTTTAGTGATAAATACATATTTGTTTGTGTATCTGTGTGTATATCAGTAAACAAAATACATACAGCACCAATCAATCCATAGGAAGTAGCAATAGTGCAAGTGAAGTTAAATATCGCAGTTTATACTTGTTTCTAATCTTAGTACTTGAGACTTGTTAAACATAATTAATCTTGTAGAAAGAAAAAGGAAAACTATCTATGCTGTAGTGATGTGTTTCCAACATCTCAGTGGGCTTTTTGGATGCATGTTTGGATCAGTGAAGAACTTCAGTCTGCTCTTGTGATGAGATTGTTAAACAAAAAAACCCCAGGTATAACAAAATTTTATTAGAGTTTGTAAGAAATTTAATATTATATCAGCAAGGAGGCTTAATGCCTCTTAAATTCGTTCTCTCAGAAGCTGCCTCTGTGCTTATTACCCAAGTGAGGATTTTGAGTCGTGCACTGAAGAAGCCAAGGGCAGTGTAGCCAATGGCTTCTGTGTCACTTGCTGGCTCTGTCTCTCTCCTCTCCTCCTCATTTGCCTTGGGACAGGGTTTGGGGATGGACAAATGTTAAGGAATAATGCTTTGAACAGCAGCTTTCCCACCAGGCGTGCACTGGGAAGAGGGAACCTGTAACACTGACTTGCACAGATGTGTTCAAAGCCAGTAAAACACAGGTCTGAGTAACAGCAGAAATTGTAATGTTGGAGTGGCAGTGGCTGTGACAGGGCAGTATTTGCCTGCCTGCAGGTGGCTGCTGTGAATCCTCCTGCACGCTCCCAGCTCTGCACATTTCAGCAGAGGTTTACAGAGCAGCTTGTGTATTTTCCAAATGGGTTTGTCTTACCTGCTGGAAGGTGATGGAGTGTCAGAAATCTGCTCTCAAAATTTCCATATTTTCCTGAATAAATTTGTTGCAAAAGTTTGCTTTTATTACTGAGGGATATATTTAAAGACCTTCTGATTCTCTTTTTAATGCACCTGTGTATGTGTGTGGAAACACACATGCAATTTTCTTCTTTTGGTTTTCTAATGTGTTTCATAGAATCCAGGTTGTCTCTCCTCTGTCAATATTTGTGATGAGTTAATGATCAACCTCTTGACCTCATGGCTGTTCCTGGTGTACATCCAAATCTCTTTTCTGTCTTCCTCTAAAAAATAGAGAAAAAAGTGAGTATAATTGCATGGTTCTCTGTAGGTGAACTCACTCTGGGCCCTGTGTTGCAAACATACTGCAGGAAGCAGAGGGGTATGTGCTGCCAAATCCTGGTAAATCGTTCAGCGTGGGAAGGTAATGCCAGGAAATCCAGGCTTCTGTCTTGTACCTGTGACTCCCAGGTACTTGGTGGTTGTGCCTGGCTGGGGTTGGTGTGGATGATCTTACTTGCCAGGAGCATCAGGAATTGCACAGTGGCTGCTGGGACTGCTGAGCTCACGGCTGGTTGTGCCTCTGCCCTTGGCAGAGCCAGCACAGCGGGGACTGGGCTGTGGCTGGGAGTGGCACCTGCTCCTCTGCAGTCTGGCCCCTGCACTCCTGTGCTCCCCGTGGCTTTTCCAAAGGGAAGAGCCTCAGACCCTGCACCAGAGCCTGGGCTGGCTCAGCCTCTGCCTGTGGGGATTCCTGCTGGGATGGCTTGAAGAAACAAGGGACATGAGGTCAGAATGAACTGGGGAGATTCTGTTTTCTTTGTCCCTGCTCTTGTCCTCCTACTTCATTTTTGTTGCCAGCTGGTTTCATTACAACAGACTAATTTGGTTCTTCTTTTCCCTCTGAAGGAAGTCAGAGTGTTCTGAATCTCACTGACATGGAGAGCAGTTCCTTACTTGGGATATTTCTCCTGCTGATGTGCTATATCCACAGCAGCTGCCCGTTTTCATATTCAGGTAGTACTTCTGAGTTACCTTTTTAATTTGTGTTACTCTGGCAATTTCAGCATTTAAACTGAAACTACATTCCTGTTCTGCACACAAAGTCCTGTGGGTTGAAGAAACACTTTCTGAAATGCACAAGAAAAAATACTATTCATATATATATATATATATATATATAAAAGAGAAATCAGCCTTTCTTAGCTTTCTACTTAGCCCGCTCTCCTGTTGAAAAATATTCTCCTTGTGATGCTGAATCCAAAGTCATAATGGTTTTTGCATGGCAAGGATTTCCAATTTAGGAAACTAAAATGAGGCGCTCTCAACCTGTGTTCTTGGACCTTGTGTTGACTGTACTAGATGAGGTTTGGAAATGGCTTCAGAGAGCTGTAGGACAGGCACAGGAGTGTACAGGATCTTGGTGGTCGTTGTGGCTGTCCTTGCAGAGGAAGAAGAGCAGAGCTGGCAGTGTATCTACACACCAGGAGGCTCACCACGGGCACCTCCTCTGTGGGGGACACCTACTTGAGTAAACCCTCTGAGGTGACCCCAGAACACAAGGGGCAGTGGAGACAAGTTTCACTCATGTACATGAAAGACATTTTCTCTGTTGCCAGACAGCAGGATTTGTCCAAAGCCTTTCTTCATTAAGAATTTTTGTGGGCTGTTATTAATTGTCTAGAAATGAAGCAATTTAATATAATTCTAGAATTTCAGGCATTGCTGTGGGTACTGTTCCTGCAACTACAAAAAAATGTATGTTTTCACAGTCCATCTCCAAAACTGGGTTCTTTGTCCAAGGGCACTGTCCCATGACTTGGAAAATGGAGCACTGATAAGTGCACTGCTATGTGGATTTTTGTGGGGATTACAGCCTGAGCTTTCACTTTAGAACACTGGTAGCAGCAACCTCTCCCAGCATCTGCTGGGTGGGCTTTGGATATTGGGCCACACTTCTGGAGATGTAACAAAAGGGCAAAAACCTTCAGAAGCAGCAGGAGGTGTGTGGGCAGGACCTTACTGCCATATTGCCTCTTTCAGCCATGTCTCCCTTAACTTACTGACAGCAGTAGCTTCAGGCATCACAGGAGGAGGGCAGGTTGTACAGTGAAGTGAAGCTCAGATGAATTAAATGTAAAACTGCAATTTCAATATTTCTCTTAATGGAGGATTGGTGTCTGTCCTGTAGTGGCCAAGGTAGCACCTGGAAAACTCTGGGTCTCCATTACCAAATATCAAACTAATAATTGCTGGGAATCAAGATGGTTAAGCAGAAAAATATAACCATCTTCCACAGAACAAGCTGCAATACTCAAGAGTCTTGTGGAATAAAAAATTATTTCTGCACTTACCTACAGGTCTCAGTAGGGGCTCTTTTTTATTCACTGAAAGAAAGCTTAAAACTACTGGTATCTTTTGCTGGAACACAGGCTAATTTTATTGTCCTTTGGGCTGTTCATTTAAATTTCCACTTCCCCTATTTATACCACTCTACTGAATACCTGACTGTGACTGTAACAATGCTGCTGCTTTGTCTTCCTGTACCAACTGTTCCATTTTGCTCTTCTAGTGTTTATGAGAACAGACAAAGCCCATGAGGTGCTATGAGTCCATAAACCTGCAAACCACTTCCTAGAAGAGATTTGTCCAGGGAACTGGAGGGAGTATGCAATGAGAGAATGCAATTAAAGAGGCTGAGGAGATCTTCCAGTCACAGCAGAAAGTGAGAAACCTCATTTTAGGAGTAGAGGGAAGTTAGCAGTGAGATGTAACTAATCCTGGTTGTTATAGTCCTGCGTAAATGATCCTGTCCTGAGGTGTAAATAAAACTGGTTGTTAAGGCAGGCAGGAAGGGAGTGCTGGGCTTGCATTCTGTCCTGAAGAGGGCCCTGGGCAGGCTGCTCCTGGCTCATGCTGCTGACTCAGAGAAGGCACAGCCATGGCCCGTGTCTGGGCAATAAGCTCTGCACGCCCTGGCTGGTGGCCAACGGGCTGTTGAACACCATGATGCCAGAGTTGTTCCTGGGCTCTTACTGGAAGGCTGAGTACCAGCGTTGGACAGGAAAAGCACTGTGTTGAGTTCAACATGACACCACATATCCTAAGCTCAGGTCTTTCATTCTTCTGTCATTCTTGCCTCCAGCACCATTTCCCTGTGGCCTGATCACAGCCAGGTGGGCTCTGGAGGAACAGCAGCTGGGGCTGAAATGGCTCTGCAGGGGCCAGTGGGAGCACTGGGATGTTGTGCCCAAGTGGAATGGGACACAGCGGGCACAGTTAGACAGACAGTTACAGGGCTGGAACATGGTGATGTTGGGGAAAAGGAGACTTTAAAGGATGGTTTTGGACAGTGTGTGCACAAAGGGTGACACTGGACAA